AAACTTTAAGCGCGACTTCCTGATAGCGAACTATGGGCTCGGTGGCGGTGGCTCGCGGCGTCCTGCACGCTGAGTCTCCGCCGCTCCGCAGAAACAACGAAAGCAACACGACTCTCGCTGCATAGCCACAAGTGCCTTGGGTCAGAGCGCGGTCGGGTTTCGCCTCAAACTCCCGGGGAAGCTTTGAGTGTCCCTGGCCGCTATACGCCCGCAAAGAAGTTGTTTCTTGAAGGCCCCTCGTAAAAGGGCCCTTTAAATTAAAATTTTAAAAATGTTATTAAATCTTTTTAAGTTTTCTTAATTTTAAACAAATACCAGTTTTATAAAATTTAATTAACTTTAATAAAGTTTCTTTTTAAACTTTTGTTAAGGGCCCGTTAATAAGGCCAGATTGGTGAAGCACTCCCAAAAAGCATCCAGGTAGCACGTCATAGGCTCTTCCGTTAACAAAAACTAGTTAACTATTTTTAAAATTTAAACAATTTTTAATTAAATTTTTTTGGTTTTAATTAAATCTTTTAAAAAAATTCCTTGTTAAAGTAAAGTAATTTAATTAAAGAAGTTTTGATTAAAATCGGGCAAAGTTGAACTGGTTCGATAGTTTCGGATGGATGTTCGACAGAGACCCTCAGGCCGGGTCAGATCCCCCTAGCTCCTCCCAGAGGAACCAAGTCAAAAATTTGGGGATCGGACTCCTCTGAGCGCGACGTTTAGAAGGATCCGCCGCGCACCTTATGCTAGCGGCTATGCTAGTGAACTTCGCGAGCTAAAGGGGTTGAAGTAGACGGCAGCGCCATCTAGCGGCTACAAGTTTTTTTTAAAATTTTAAATTTAAAACGCATTCATAGGACTGACTTAACATTATCGTATTTATTGCCTTGAAAAGCGCGTGCTTGATGTCGATGCTCAATTAATGGAAGCTAGTCCCTTTCCTCGCTTTTGTCCCGTCAATTCACGCTGTTCACGAAGACAAGCCTCTAAACTTATTGACATGATTAAATTAGATCGTAACATTATCCGTTAACTTAATCCAGGGCAAGTGTTCACTTTAATCAAAGAAGTCTTTAATTTAGGAACATCCGTAACAAACTCAAATTAAACACCGAACTAAACTTAACAAGACCGTCCAATGTTGTTAAAGTTAATTACAAACGAGTTTAATAAAGAAATATTTTTAACAAACATTAATGTAAGGTTCAAATTAAATTTTGTTAGATCATTTTTTTAAATAAATCCAACTAATAAATTTTTGTTAAACACGGCAATTTAACAAAAGAAGTTTAATTAAAGTAGACGATTTAATTAAAAGTTGATTACTCTTAACAAAACTTTAACAAAATTTTTATAAAATTTAATTTAACGTTTTTACGAGGGGGGATTTGAACGAGTGAGTTTACATCAAGTCAAGTCTCTTGGTTCAAGAGTAACGCCTTTTCTGGCCGTGCTGCCCCGCCGCCGCGGGCGACGGAAGCTAACCCAGTTTTGTCTTTTCCGCGTTCGATGTGAGCCACTCGCAGCGAATCAGCGCGACCCGACGACGGCGAAGACGGTTCAAGCCGAGCGATTCCGGAGAGAGGGAGAGAGAGTCGTTTTGCCGCTTAGTCTCGCTCGCACCGCTTTGCTCTGTTTTTGAAACAGAGCGGACGTGACCAAAACATGGCGGCGTGCCCCTGCAGTCCGATTCCGAGAGTAGCTCTGTCTCTCTCGCACTCGCGGGGCGTACCGTGGCGGTGCGAGAGAGACGGCGCGACGAAAACGGCGCCCGGAATCAGTCTGCCGGGCTGCCCCTGGCGTGCTCTCGCGTCCGCTCGAGTACCCTGGAAGGCTAGGGGGGCGGGAAGGGCTCGGGAAGGGCGCAGGGCGCGGCAAAGGCACGCGGAAAGGGTCGCAGGCCTCGGCAGCCCTAGCCAGCCCTCGGCAGCCCTGCATTGTCCGTCCTTCGTCCTTCGGTACAGAACAGGATCTAGTGCTGCGGAGTTACTTCATTGGCCGACTTACAAATCCCTTTCTTTACGAGCCCGGGGCGCGTGCTGGGGCGGGGCGGGGTGGATCGAGGCGTACCTGGGGCGTCGCGGATCCGGGCGCGAAGCCTTCCCCGAGACCCGGCAGTCGTGAAACCCTGTAGCACCCGAGTCGCATGGGACCGACCACGAAGTGCATGACCCAGACCCGGAGGACCCGGAGCGGGGTTGCCTGCACTGTCTGTCCTCCGGGACGCGTAGAAACTACACTTCTACCAAGGAAATAAACTCAGCGACAAAAACTATTCCCGTTTCAACTTTGGGGTCTCTTGATTTTAAACAGAAACACTGAAAAGAAAATGGTCTCAGAAAACCTTAAATTCTTTTGACCAAAGAAGCACACAGCAAAAATTCCGCTAAAATGTGTTCTAAATGAAAACAAAGAAAACAAATTTGTTTTCTAACTTGGATTTGCCGAGGCCGAGAGTGAATCCCGCTTCGTGGATTTGGCTCAGCGTTTCTGACAGCGCCGTGCCGTCGGCGTGCCGTCGGCCAGGTGGTCTCACGGAGCCCCCCTTTGGCCCCTTCGCCCTTCGTTATCTCCCTAATTGATTCGCGCGTCGAAATAGGGGCACGTCTCGGCGTAATGCGGGGCTGGGGGGCTCCAAACTCGCTCGCAACGTGCATGACAGTATTTTTTTAAAAAAATGGGGGGAGCAGCCTAGCAGTGTCGGAAGCGGAAAACAATAGTACCGAGAGCCCTCAAAGTCGTAACGGGACGTCCGCGACGGCGTGGATGCCGAGGCGAAGCTGCGAAGCGCCAAAGCAGCCAAAGCGGCTCCAACTGCCGTGCCGCCATGCCGTGCCGCCATGCCGCGCCGTGCCGTGCCGGGCTGCATTCACGGCCAGACGGATTGCGGCAGTCTTTTTCATTTTCCCCCAAAGTCGGCTCACGCGCGCGTTCTGCCTTTGGGGGCACAAAACGTCGCGCCCCACACTGCCGAAAAAAGCCGAAAACGGCGCGATTCATCGCGCGACGGTTCGCAGCCACTCAAATTTTCTTTTGTCCGACTGGAATTTGTTGCTAACGACGATTGAGATGACGTGCTTGACGTCATAACGAGACGGCTGCACATGTCGCCGCTGTGGTTTTGTGGCGATTTTCCTCGCCGTGAGCGCTTTAATCGCGTTGTCGACGAATATAGACTCTGAAACGGTTCCGTCCGCACTTCTCGCGTGACGTGGGCGCCGTGCCGGTGAGGGGGGAGGTGAAAGTGCAAGGTAGCAAAAGGACAGCAAAGAGGCAGGGCCGGGCCGGGCGGGGCAGCCCCACTGTAGGGCCCCTACAGGCCCCGCCGCGTTGCGTCGCGTTGCGTCGCGTTGCGTCGCGTTGCGACCTCACGTCAGCACCGAGCCCTTTACGCATCACGCGACGGCATTCAAACGGCGGCGTGCCTGCGTAGGTGTGTGTGTGTGTGTGGGGGGGGGGGGAGTCCCCGTGAGGCCGTGTGAGTGTAGGTGTAGTACATAGTGGCGCAACTAGGGAGGGAAGTTGGGTGCTAAACTTGCCATATTCAGGGCCGTATCCGTGGACTGACTCGGAGCCACTCCGTGCCACTCCGCCGCCACAGGCCGCACAGTTCGGCTAACGCACAGCCTCTCGCCGCCGCGGAGAGCTTCTGTCATCGCCAGATCACCGGGAGAGGGAAAAAAAGCGTCGCGCGCCACGCGCCAGCATGCTGATCCCGAACGGCGTCGCTCTGTCTCTCTCGCACTCCTCCCCCCCCCCTCGCCCCGCCCGCCCGGATTCGGATAGTTTTCTTAATTGCGAACGCGGACTCGGCAAGAAGCGTCGTGGCGCGACCTGCCGCGCCACTGCAAAACAATGCGGGGCAAAAAGTGGATTGCGGGATTATGAGTAGACTGTGTTTGTGCCTGCCTCGCAGCCTCGCAGCCCCGCCTTGCAAAGTCCCGTGAACTCCGTCGCGGAGCGTCCTAATGCTGCCCGCGTAATCCGTAACCCTGTTGTCGGGGAACACGGCGAGGGCTGCGCCGGGCTGCGCTGCGCGAACAAATTGGAGCGCCGCCGCGTGGGGGGCTGTACTGCAAGGGATGCACGACCGGGACGCCGTACAGGGGGCCAGAATACCGGCGCAGGCGGCCAAAAGTCTTGACGTGTTTGGAGCTCCAGAGTCGCTCAATGGGACTCGAACCCATCGTATGACTCCACCAATGGATTGCTCTCCAAACGAGGAATCCATTGGTGAGGTCACACGCTCGGTTCAAGCCCTGTTTAGCGACTCTGGAGCTCAAAACGCGTCTAGAGTTTTGGCCGCCTGCGCCGGTCTTCTGGCTCACTGTGGTGGAGCCGGAGCGCACCCCAGGGCCTAGCAGTGCACTCTCCGAAAGCGACGCTTCGCTAACGGGTTGAATCGCGGCCTGCGACCTGCATCCCCAAATCGGCCGCGCTCCAGCCACACGGCAAAACCAACGTCCGGGTTTCCCAGGCGCACCCTGGAAAAACAGGGCATTTTTCCAGGGTGCGCCTGGGAAACCCGGACGTTGGTTTTGCCGTGCAATGAGCCTCGCCTCGCGCGCCCTCGCACGCCGGCACGACAATCGAGATTCGAAAGCGAGACGGGACGGAAAGAATTAAACTTTGTTCGCCGCCCTAGGGCCGCCCTAGGGCCGGGCTGGCGCGCCATGGCGGGTGGAAGTTTGGTTCGAACACAACGGAGACTTTCGGCGTGATGAAATTCGAAATTAGCAAGGCGACAACAACTAGACAACAACTTGGCGAGGCGGCAGGAAAGCCTGGGCCGCGAGGACCACGTCGACCACGCCGTGTGGTGTTCCAGGACACAGGCACAGTGCCTACGTGAAGGGCCCTTATTGGCAAGTTGGTGTACATGACAGGTGGTCTCCTAGGGTAAAGGGGGGGGGGATTTTCATCATCTTAAAGGGACGCCTGGTGAAATGTAGCGCGGTGCGCGAGGTGCGCCAGTTTGAAAGCTTCGGCAAGCGGAAGAAAGGACTCACCGAGGAAGCCGGGGATGGCCCCTAGCGGCATGACGAACAGGCTGACGAGGAGGTCGGCCACGGCCAGCGACAGCAGGAAGTAGTTGGTCACGTTCTGCAGCCGCCGGTCCAGGATGATGGCTAGGCACACCAGGATGTTGCCGACGCCGCCCGCCACGATGAAGGCCAGCACGAAGAGGAAGCTCCAGTCGAACTTGCGCGTCCCCGCCAGCCGGGGCGGCATCGTCGCCGACCCGTCGGCCAGCCCGTCCAGCGAGCACCACAGGCCGTCGAGGCCGTACTCCGGAGACGCGGTCAGGTTGTCGAGCGGCAGGCCCTGCAGGGAGGGCAGCAGGTCGCCGCACCTCAGCTGGAAGTCCAGGTACTGGCACAGCTCGGCCGCCGGCAGTCGCGCCGTCACCGAGTCCGTGAGGCCGAGGTCCACGCCGCGCACGGACATCCGCGCGCTGCCCAGGTCCAGGCCGCGGACCACGGACTCGGCGGTGGAGGTCACCGTGGACGCCGCCCAGGACACCATCGACGCGACGGTGGAGGAGGCCGTCGTGGGGCACGTCAGGTTGGCGACGACGTCCCGCACGGCCACGGCCAGGCACTCCCACGCGTCCCCCGTGTCCCCCGGGCTGCACTGGAAGGCGGCCGTCGGCCCCAGGTTGTTGCCGCAGAACAGCTGCGGGCCGGCCGCGCTGTCCGCCGCGCTGTCCGCCGCGTCGGGCACCATCACGTGGCACACGTAGCGGGCCAGCTCTTGCCAGCTGACCGCCGCCTCGCTGGACGTCGGCGTCGCGGCGGTAGCGTCCATCGTGAGGGCCTCACATCACACTATCGGCCTGCTTGTGGTGCTAGCGGCAGTGGCAGGGCGCGCGGCGGGGCGCCGACAGCCGGGCGCAGCACGGCCGCACACCGCCGGCCCGGGACTGCTCCGGTGCCGAAGGACCGCCAGGGCCGCCAGGGCGGCCGGAGGGCCGGAGGACGAGGTCGCCATCGCGTCCCTGGAACACAAGCAAGGCGTTAAACGGGTGTCGTGGCCAAAATCAGCATCCCGGGGCCATGGCCGAGGTCTGGGTCGGCATGCAGCCCGATCAGCATACGGGTCTCATCGCCGAGGCCGGCATACGGTTGTCGTGGCCGTGAGATCAGCATACGGTAACGAATTTCGCTCGCTCGACCGGGCCGAGCCGGCCCGGCCAGCCGAGCCGGGCCCGAAGAGGCTCTTTATGCCGATGCAGTTGCATTAATGACTGCCTCACATGCATCGGGTGCATGCTGCAGACGCAGCACTCTGTTGATTGGAACGAGTCGAAGAAGCACCGAGGGGGGAGGCCAAGAGGAAACTGGGAACTGCACTGAAAAAAAATTATGCGACTAGAGTGAAGTCAAATCGACGAGAATTCGGTTGATTTTCTGATCAACATTGTTTCGACTGCGAGAGAACCCTATGACTTGTATGAGAACCCTATGAGAACCCTAGGATTCTAGATTCAAACCAATTGAACTTCAGTTAGTTTTCTTGGCAACATCGTTTTTCCTAAAATGGTACCTCATGCTTCCCTAAGTCACTAAAAGTCTCAGTCAGTATTTGCGTTTTTTTTTGTGCAGGTATTGGTTCCCCGATCTCTTGCTGTGCATGGCATTTGTCTCAAAGGCGGCGAGCGACAGCCGGTGCAACGTCCCCAGCCTGCTTCGCGCTGCTGGAGCACGCTGGAGCACGCTGGAGCCGGGCCCCGGCAGTCTCCAGTGGGACTCGAAATCATCAAACGCAGGATGACGCCAATCGATTCCTCGTCTGAATGACAGCCCGCCGCCGCCGGGTTTCATTCGAGTCCCATTTCAGGGCTTTGGGACTGAAAACGTGTCTCGAGTGCGTCTCTGTGTCCCGGCCCTCCGCTGCGCCCCGCCCTGCGCCACCCGTGCGGCCGCCCGCTCGCGGGGTGCTCATCTGAGTCAAGGGCTGGCCCTTTGTGGCTGGGGGGGGGGGCGTCGCTGACGTGTCCGATAGTACGAGAGCAGCGCAAACGGGAGTCCGCGGACACGCTTTCAGGGATTCAGGGTTCGGCCCTGCCCCGCCCCGCCCCGCCTCGCTTCGCTGTGCCCTGTGCACACTGATTCCCGAAGAGGCACCAACACGGAGTGGAGTGGAACGTATGAATGGAGTAGCGCTGGCGGCCGGCAGCGGCCACTCGCGACTCGCTTCATCCGTCTGCTCACTGATTCCGAGAGTCGATCTCCGTCTCTCTCGCACACATACGGCACGCCCCGTGAGAGCGAGAGAGACAGAGCGACGAGACCGACTCTCGGAATCAGGCTACTGTCCGCCTGGGTTACTTCCACCCCGGCGGTGCGCGCCGCGCCCAGCCGCGCCCGGCCGCGCCGCGCACGTCGGCTCCAGTCCGTCTTGCTGCGGGGGCGAGAGAGATCCGGCGCCCTTATTTTGCCCCGCCGAAGACTCGTCGCTCTCTGTCGCACTCAAGGGGCTCTCGGTAAGGGTGCGAGAGAGACAGAGCGACGAGCCAGTCTTCTGGAGCGCTCCACTGAGAAGACGAAGACGCGGAGAACGGAGCGACGGAGCCAAGCTGGCGTTGTGGGAAGGCGAAGGCACCGCGTGGCGCAGCGTGGCACACTGGAAGGCTGGAAGTAGGCCGGGCGGGGCGGGCCGACCACCAGGTGGTTCGCCTCGCCACGCGGCGTGCAGGGCGTGCAGGGCGTGCACCATGAGGGCGCGCAGGGCGGGGCCCGCTTGTTTACCACACACAGGCCCTAGAGGTCCTCTACGGGCAGCCCCCTCTTCCCTTGCAGCTTCCCAGAATCCGTCCGGGCAGCCCAGGCAGCGCAGCCACCGAGGGGCACGCCACCGTTATAAGACCCGCCCGGCCTGCGCTTTACTCGTTCGAACCTGCTGTAGCAGTGGCGCGTACAGTCCGGTGTCGCGCAGTGAAATGCTCGGGCCGAAGTCGCGTTCTTGGAGCGGCCCTCTTTGTGCAGGTGGCGGGCGGGCCAACAGGAAATTGGGGGCTGCCGTTTTCCGCGTTAACGAATTAGCGCTCGTGGAAGGGCGGCATGGCCTCCTTGGCCAACAGGCGCCGCATTGGGGAAGGGAGGGAGGGGGAAGAGGGGGGGGGGAGCACTGGGGGCTTTGCTGATTTTGCAGGTGGCTGGGTGGAGGAGAAAGGCTGCGGGGGGAATACAAAAAATAATGTGTCATGTGCGCCACCACCCTCCAAGTTTGCCGCGCGTGCCTTGGGTGCCGCGATGTGGATGAGGCCATGAGGCCCCCGAAGAAATTTGTTCCTCACCGAACAAAGCCTACCAAACAAACACGCTCACACACGCGCCTCCCCGCACACACGTGCCTCCCCCCCCCCACACACACACTCACGTATAGGCCCGCGCACGGTGCGAAGCATTTACGCAAACCGAACGGCGGCATTTCTTTCAGCCGCATGGCCCCGACGGTCCTGTCCGACGAGGCGTGAGAGTGAGAGAGGGGGGGAGGGCGAGCAGGGTTGCCACCCCTGGCCTGCAGGAGAGTAAGAAGGACTCTCGCGGCAGCCCCGGCAGCCCCGCGGGGGTCGTCCCGCCCGCAGATGGTCTAAAGCGCGGTTAAAGTAAACAAAAGGCGGTAACGGCGTCCGCGGTGGTGAACCTGGTGAAACAGCGCCGTTTTTGAATGGAGCCGCGTGGCCGCGCGCGTGGCGCGGGTGAGATACACCGTAAGTCGTGCTGCTGACAAAGCCGAGGCCTCCGCGCCGGCGACGCCCTGCCGGCAACCTGTGCGGGATGGCACTCTGCCGCCCTTCGGCGACCGTCGCCGCTCTGTCTCTCTCGCACTCCCGGGGCGTCCGGTGGGGCGTGCGAGAGAGACAGAAGCGCCGCTCGGAATCCTCCAGCAGGTGGTCTGATTTATGAATTGAGATTCAGACGGACCGGCCTGGGGGGAGTGTGCCTGTGTCCTGGTGCCGGCCGGGCACTTGGTGATGTATACACAATACAGCAAAACCCTGCGCCCCCCTCACACACGCCAGCATGCCCGGCACGCCCAGCACGCAAAGGCATGCACCGTTGTGGTGGTGGGGGCGTCGGGACGGCGGGGACTCGCCCGGAAAGGGAATGGAATATCGGCTCGCCTAAGCCTTGACCAGCTTCTACGGACGGACGGCCCATGCTGGACGCGCCCAGCTCAATGCGCTTCGCGGCATGTGTTCCTGGTCCATTCATGACCGCCACTCTGCGTGTAGCCTACACACTGCCGAAAATGTCTCCGTTCCTCCAAAGCGCCTGGCCGGTAGGCAGTCCCGGATGCAGCCCTGTCCGACGGGACTGCCTACCCGTCCTTCGTAAGGGGCTCCGGACGGGTGGTGGGCTTTCGCTTCCCGTGTGCGGTAGTCTGTGGATCTGACTGACTTTCGGAAGGCCCGCACGCTCTGGCTGTGGACGGTCGTGTCAAGGAGGGAAACCTGGAAGCTGAAAAGGGAGAGAGAATCGGTGAGGGAGGAGGTTAAAGAGGGGAAAATGCGCACGGATTGCGGTTTGTGGGCTGGCGACGGACGGGGTGGTTGTCCCACATGAGAGAGAGAGAGAGAGAGAGAGAGAGAGAGAGAGAGAGAGAGAGAGAGAGAGAGAGAGAGAGAGAGAGAGAGAGAGAGAGAGAGAGACTCCTCCAGCCCACGCCGCCGTCCCTGGGGAAGGCCGTCCTACACGTTATCAGGCAGTGCGACAGAGTGCGACCCCCGGCGTCTCGGCCTCGCCCCTCGTCCCGCGGTGGCAATCTGGCGCGCAAGACTCGCCAAAGTCCGGCCGTACAAACCGAGGTTCCGCGCGTCGCGGCGTCGCGGCACTGTAACTGTAGCCGACATTACGGCCTAGGAGCGCTCCGCATTGCCCCGCAATGAGACGGAATTACGCTCGGATCTCGCAACGGATGCCAGAGACAAGCAGCCCCGTTTCTTTTTTTACTGGTTCAGGCAGCGTCCCACAGTGGGTCAGAAGGCCGGCGCAGGCGGCTACAAAACTCGAGACGCGTTTTGAGCTCCAGAGTCCCTAAACAGGACTCGAACCGAACGTGTGACCCCACCAATGGATTCCGCGTTCGGAGAGCAATCCATAGGTGGGGTCTTAGAGTTTCATTTAGCGAATCTGGGGCTCCAAACCCGTCCGGGGTTTCGACCGGCTCCACCGGTCTTCTGGCCCACTGTGCGTCCCTGGAAAGCCCCTTTCCCTCGTTGCGTTCGATCGTCTCCCCTCGCAAAGCGTCTTAGCGCGCCGATTGCGGCGG